CCTCTAGTAATATATTTACTGAGAAAAATGGTGACGTGTTCAATACTTATTTTACCCACTGTATACATACATACATACATACACACACTCTGTGTGTAAACTTGCTAGCACGCTACTATTAAGGTTGCAGGAAAAACGTGGACTGGATTTCATGTAATGGGGGAGTACTCTATATGAACAAGTGAAACACACCAAAGAGGATCTCTACCTTACACTATAAATTAAAGGGAAACTGACAGATTTATGATCATATATTTTAGTTAATAATGAAACATTAAATGGTTATTTATTATGACTACATCATATTGAATTTTTGAAAAAAAATATATATATTTTTACACCAAAATAATTTAGGGGGGCTTTAAAATATTTTAGTGGGGTTCCAGCCCCCATGAAATAGGCCTAGTGACGCCACTGGTTTGTTTTAACCTGTAACGACCCCAGTCCTGAAAAATCACTTTTTATTTCCTCCTCCTCTGCAGGCCGGCTGCCCTTCGAGCTGTGTCAGCGCCACGTGGAGCGCATCGTCCTGGTGAGCGACGAGGAGATCGCGGTGGCCGTGTCCGCCCTCTACAGAGCCGGGCTGGTGGTGGAGCCGTCCGGCGCCGCCGCCTTCGCCGCGCTCCTCAACAACAGGATCCCCGACCTGGAGGGGAGGGAGGTCGTGTGCATCCTCAGCGGGGGGAACGTGGGGAAAGACGAGCTCGCCAACTTTCCAGATTGAAACTCTTAGTTTGTTTTAGCCTCACTTTAGACTCCATGTTTCTAAATATTTAGAAATCTTGTTACTTTATTTTTTTATCTGTAGGAAATTCTTAGCTGTAATCTGTCATTGGTGCTRTAATTCTGTATTTTTCTAGTTTTATTCTCCAGATTTTACTGATATTTGGTCACTTTTGAACAATGAAATTTGCTGCTACACAATAAAACACAATCATGATTTTAAAACCTGATCCAATAAAGACAAAACAGCAAATCTTTGTGAAAAAAATCTACATTTTGAGGCCAAAACAAGACAAAAACATTAAAATAAAAATGCTCTATGTCCTCAGGCTACATGACGTCTTTAGCTGCCATCCTGCAAACAACGGCGTCCAGCAGACTCCCACATTTGTCCTCCTGAGGGGGGATTTTATACATCTGGAGAGAAACAAGAAATTATTTTACAACAAAAGAATAAAAATAGTTTCTCAGAATAATGTGCATCAAGTAAATATCCACACAAAAGTCAAACCTTTCTGATCTTTACTGTGTCTGATAATGAGGACACGTCCTCCGCAGGAATCTGCTGTCCGTCCACCATGTCTGCGACGTCTGACAGAGACGGTGGGTCGTCTTTCTTGTGAACCAGGACCACCAGAACCGAGTCGTCTCCRTCTGAGATCCCAAATCTTTTAAAGGACTCTGAGATCTGTCAGTTAAATAATAATGATAATGAAACACAATAAAAAGGACAAATATCTTCTGAATGATTAATCATTAAATGTTGCTTACATTATTAGTAGGGGACAGGCTGAAGATTATTTCAGAGTTAAAAGTCCTTGTCTTCATTTTCCCAGTTGTCTGTAAATGAACAGCTTTATTGGCAGCAACCATCACCTGGAAAGGACTCAACACCTGCCAAAAAAGTTTACAACATTTTTTTATTCATAAATAACACAGAGAATGTTTTAGTCATTTTAACTTGGACACAAAATAAGAGTCTCACCATTGTCGGGTTGATTAAGGCGCCGTTTATTCGACCTTCCACCGCTTTTTGTCGCAACTCTTTCGCGTTTTGGACTCGTTGAAAAAGCATTTGTGTCACCGTGGTGTCCGGGTAAAGCTCCAGCTCTTGTGTAAGCTGCATGCTGGAAATAAMTAGTTAAAACGTGGCTAACTTGTATTTCTAATGACTAAAGTTTTACGCTGCTTCACGCGTGGAAGAGATCGACGCAAACCTACTGGGAACCATAATAATGCGACACCACGTGAACCGGAAGTGCACTCACCAGAAGACTCGAAGGAGAATTAAAACACTTGGTCAAATAGTTTTATAACATATATTTAATTGCAACGATATTCATATTTTTTAGATATTCATCTCACTTTTTTTTAAAAGCAAAATAGGAACGAATGATAAGGAAAATGTTCCGCTATCGAGCCTATTTCTAAGGCGGACATCCGGTTGTACTTCCGCTTATTGACACTGACCAGATTTACTTGTTTTCTCTGCTAGTTTAAGTAGTTTCGCGTTTTCATTGGATGAATCTGATCACTATGCATGATAAACTAAATTATATCAGTTATTATTCTTACGACAAATAGACAGTTTAGTCGCGCGCCGTCGTCAAGCATGGAGAAATTTGAAGGCTACATTTTCACGGCTCTCTGCAGCACCAACTTCTTGGTGTCCTGCCTGCTCTTCTCTAAAATCACCCGCGAGCAGAGGGAGCCGTACATGGACGAGATCTTTCACATCCCTCAGGCTCAAAAATACTGCAGTGGGAAATTCAATGAGGTAAAAAAATATATATATACGTTTTTATAAGACATAATGGAGTTGTAGATTAGATTAGCCAAGAGCTGGGAGGTTTTATTTACAGTTACTGCTGGGTTTGATGYGGATTCAAATGTTTCATTTGAAATAAATCACTGAAAATGTTTTAAAAATGTCTGGAGAGTTCTAACAAAAATATAGTGCAAAACAAGGTGGATGTAATCTAAATCAGTTTGCAGAAATGGCTGTTGTGAATTTGCTCTGTTTTACAAAACAAAACTAATGAATTAAAATTACCTTTTAATAAAACAAAACAACTAGTAAATTAATTAAATAAAAAGAGAAACAAAACATTAGCAAAAACATATTTGTATTAGTGAAAACTTTTGACCAAATAGCTGTTTAACAGGGCCGTTCAACTGGTGGTCCGTGGGCCACATCCGGCCCATGGGTAAGCTCAGTCCGGCCCACTGAGTTCATTTTGTCTTTTTTAAAAATCTGAAAAACAGTTTTGTTTTATTTCATTCTGAAATGCACATTTTTACTTTTTATATAAATGACTTGTGTTAGCTACATAGCTATGTTGCGTTCACTGACCTTAAAAATAAATACATTTCAGGCTCAGTTTGTAGGCACTTTGATAAAGGTGCTGCCCGATCCCGGCAGTGTGTAGGTCAGCCTCTGCTAAGCTTTTCAAAATTTATCTTAAGGTTTTATCTAGTTTGTTTTCTGCTTTGGTTTGAAAAATCGTTGCTAAATTGTGACGCACACCGTCTACGGAGCTCCACACTTTTTATGTTATAATAGAAGTCAGTGGAGCATTTGCTTCATAATTTTCAGCCTTTAAAGACCTTTAAATCCTTAATGGGGAGTCTGATTTTAWAAAACTAAAGTAAGTTTGAAACTTTTATCAAAGTTCCAACAGTTTGGACAATTAATTTTCCTTTTTTTTGGTCTGAACAGTGGGACCCGATGATCACGACTCTCCCGGGCCTTTACCTGGTCTCCGTGGGCGTGATCAAGCCCGTGGTGTGGCTGGCCGACCTGACGGGCGAGGTGGTGTGCTCCACCGCCATGCTGCGCTTCATCAACCTGCTCTTCAACTGCGGCAACCTGTACCTGATCTACCTGCTGCTCTGCAGGCTGCACCTGCGGGAGAAGGTAAGGACGGGGGGGTGGTGGGGGGGGCGTGGTTTTGTTTTGCTCTGACGTCACCTTGCTCCTCCTCCAGACACGAACGACGTGGCGCAGAATCCTGTCRGCGCTGTCCCTCTCCACCTTCCCCGTGCTCTACTTCTTCAACTTCCTGTACTACACGGACGCSGGGTCGACCTTCTTCATCCTCTTCGCCTACCTCATGATGCTGTACGGCTGCCACAAGGCCGCGGCGCTCCTCGGCGTCTGCGCCGTGCTCTTCCGCCAGACCAACATCGTCTGGGTGGCGTTCTGCGCCGGCACGGTGGCGGCCGCCAAGATGGACGAGGCCTGGAGGGCGGAGCACGCCAAGAAGAGGGACGAGAAGTCTCCTCCCCCSCAGGTGCCTCTGACGTTCGGCGGAGCGAAGCGCGTGCTGCTTTTCTCCCTGGACTTCTTCACCTCGCCCRGCCACGTGAAGGCCGTGCTGCTGGGGGCGTGGCCCTACGCGGCGGTGGGCGTGGCTTTCCTCGCGTTCGTCCTGTTCAACGGCGGGATCGTTGTCGGCGACAGGTCGAGCCACGAAGCCTGCCTCAACTTCCCCCAGCTCTTCTACTTCCTGTCCTTCTCCCTCCTCTTCTCCCTCCCCGTCTCGCTGTGCTACCACCGCTTGCTCCGCCTCCTGCAGGCTGTCAGGAAGCAGCCGCTCCTCTTCCTCTTCATCACGGCGCTCTCCGTGCTCCTCGTGTGGAAGTTCACCTTCGTGCACAAGTACCTCCTGGCAGACAACCGCCACTTCCCGTTCTACGTGTGGAGGAAGGTCTACCAGCGGCACGAGCTGGTGCGCTTCCTCCTCGCCCCGGCGTACGTCCTGGCCGGCTGGAACTTCCTGGACTCCCTGCGGTCGCGCTCGCTCTTCTGGAGCCTGGCCTACCTGGCGTGCGTGGCGTGCGCCACCRTCCCCCAGAGGCTCCTGGAGTTTCGCTACTTCGTGGTGCCGTACCTGATGTACCGCCTGCACATGCCCCTCCCCCCGCTGCACAGGCTCGCCGGGGAGTTCCTGCTGTACGCCGCCGTCAACGCCGCCACCATCTACGTCTTCGTCGCCAAGACGTTCCGCTGGCCGGACAGCGCGGCYGCGCAGAGGTTCATGTGGTGATCTCCGTTTATCTGTCGGGAGGGCTGGAGTCTGTGGAGCGGACGCTGAAAATCTCACATTTCAACAAGTTTTGTTTTCAAAAGAAAGAAATAAAGAGTCGAAACATTAACATATCTGGTCTGTTTGGAAAGAATTAAACATCTTTATCCTCCACAGGTTGTAAACATGACTTTGAAAACTCAATGAATTTTCTTATGACTGTTTTTTTTACTGTAATTGTAAGAAAAAAAATCAATACAAGCTGTATTTATGAGCAAAAGAGACCAAAAGTGATGATAGCCATACGATAAGCCTTCTCCTCGTCAGGTCACTGAGGTTTGTGTGTTTTTAACTGAGGTCACAACTTTAATTATAACAACCTGTTAAATAATTTAGATGTTTAGTTTTTTATGTACTCTGTGATTTTCTGTCATGTGGTTAATTTAGTTAAACTGCCTTTGTTTTGAGTTAACCCAATGTTCTTCAATTTTCTGTTTGTTGTTGCAAATGTTGGAGCCAATAGATGAAATGTTTAACTGACAGATGACCTTTTTTTTTTTGTTTTTCTAAGTAAAATTTAGGGTTTCCAAATATTTAAAAAAAAATAATTCTGATCAGTCGTTACATTTTTAAATTTTACTTCTTGGTTTATCTCGAACGTTTGCTGGCTGTTCAGCCTGGTCCTCTTACTTCCTGTGTGTATTTGTGTCCATCCAGCTGTAAATTCGCTGCTCCTCTGTTGGTACCATTTTGAATAAAAATGTCTTTTTGTAAAAAAATAAAAAAAAAATCTGTCTTAGGTGTCGGTTTTTTTTTCTGAGAAATGATGGAATTATAAATGTTTTTTGGTCAAACCTTGAACAAGAWGTGACGGGGCATCTCTCGTGTCGTGTGGTGGAGCTCACTGTGTGTTTGTAGGGATGACTCTCAGCTACTACCGCACCAAAATTCAGCTCAATGTCTGTAAAATGACCCCAGTTAAAGCCATGAGCTGAGGTGGCCATCTTGATTTAAATCAACTTTAAAATTATTGCACTGAAATTCCTCCAATCATTTGAGATATTTTGCTAACAGACAAGAAGATGGATAGATACAATCCATAACGTGCCTAACCACAAATATCTCTCTCTCTCTGTCTCTCTCTCTCTCTCTCTCTCTCTCTCTCAACTTATTTTGAGACTTAAGTGAAAACGTAAACAATATCCAAATAAAATGGAATAAAAAAAGCATTTAAATGTTTTCTTTTTTCTTCCAAGGAAACTAAGATTGAAATAAAATATCTAAAGTGGTCAAAGTGTTAGACTTGGCTGCACTGTCAGCAATAATAATAATAATAAACACCTTCTTATATGGATAAAAATAAGTTTTGAAAGTGAAGAAGAGTAAAATGATATATTTATGAGCAAAAAGCTGAAAATAAACATGTTAAATATTATTACTTTACGTTGTTTGAATGAGATATAATCTAATTTGTCCCCAGGTGTCTCAGTGTCCTTGTGATAGACCAGGTAGTCCAACTTTAACTCATGCAGTGGTGGACCTCGGCCACCAGGGGGCGCTCCAGGATAAAGCAGGCTGCTTCAATCAGACTTTTTGTGATTCAAACTCAAGTCAAACTCTGCTTTGTGCTTCTGGAAACCAAACAATCTGATTCAATTAAAGCAGATATGAAAACATGAACGTTTTGTTTCTCTAAAATGGAAAATTAACCAACTGAAGCCCTGAAAATAAAACTAATATAATGTTTTTAAAGTCCGATGGAGCCTCATTAATTCCTTCATTAAAGAATAATAAGAGCTCACATTATTCCACCTCAGCACTGAGTTCAGGTATTAAGGAAATTACAGCTCAACAGGGAGGCAGTTTGATGCTTTAAGTATCTGTTCTCCTTCCTGATGTAATCCTTGCATCGTGCAGAAAAGCCTCAGAAGTTTGACGGTAGGTACATTTATCTCCTAATAATAAGTAAGGTTATGTAACTCATTTTCTAATTTGAAGAAAAAGAATCAGAAAACCTTTAACACTCAGTTCTTGATCATTTTATCCATTCTGGTTCTTCTGTTGATTCACGGAAACAGATCTGCCTCTTTCGTCGTGACTTCACTTTTTAACGAGGCGTCTTAAACCCACCATCGGTTTTTATTGGTCTTTTTTTTTCTCTGAAGCACAGAAAATGTCCCRCCGTGCTGAACAAGAACGTGTAGATTTCTCTACAGTCTCAGAGAAATGATGTGAAAACTGGTGAACAAAGTTTAGGATCTGAATCCAGATGCACAGCCAGAGGACAAAAACAAGTATTTTAATAAAACTTTAAAAAAAACAATGAAGAAAAAACTATTGAGAGTAAAGACGCGGGAGGTAACACTACAAATCACCGACAGCCACAATCTACAGATCTGTGGAAAGGTTATAAACAGTAAATATCTTACCTGTTGTAGATAGAGCTTAGACTGACTTCCGTTTAGCTATATTTGACAATTTTAGTTCTTGTCTAGCCTTTTTAGATATGTTTAACCTCTAGCTAGCCATTTGATGTATTTATTAAGCCTTATGATATGATTAGCTTTCAGTTAGCCTTTTGATACTTTTATATTCTAGCCAAGTTTTACTTTTAGCTAGACTTAAAACAGCTAGAATCTAAAAGTAATTTAATTTATATAAAGCTGTTTGTGCTGCTTTAAGCATTCGCTAATGTTGTACTACTTTTAGCTTTTGTTTTACTTTTAGCTTAAAGCAAAATTTTTGCTAAGTTAAATTTTTAGACAGCCCATTTGCTACTTTTACATTTTAGCCAGCTTTTTGATACTTTGGCCTCAAGCTAGCCTTTTGATTAATTGATATAGTCATTTTAATACTTTTTGACTCTAGCTATGTTTTACTTTTAGCTAGCCATTTTCAGCTTTAATCTTTAATTTTGCTGTTTTTCCTGCTAAAGCATTAGCTAGTGTTGTACAACTTTTAGCTTTAAGCAATTTTTTTGCTAGGCTAGATTTGTAGATAGCCCTTTTGCTACTTTTATCTTTTAGCTAGCTTTTTATATTTTTGGCCTCTAGCTAGCCTTTCGATGCATTTAATTAGTCTTCTGATAAGGTTAGCTTTCAGCTAGTCTTTCAATACCTTTAGATTGCTATGAGTTTTTTTTTTATAATTTTAGCTAGCGTTTTGCTGCTTTAGCATTTAGCTTGTTTTGCAGTAGTTTTAAATGTTTTGATACTTTTACCTCTTAGCAAACATGTACTTATACCATTTAGCTTGTGTTGTACTACTTTTAGCTAACATTCTGATCTACTTTTAGATTTTACTTAGCCTTTTTGTTGCTTTTAGCATTTATTAAGTGTTTTAGCTTTCTTTTTATTTAAACGTATTGTTTTAATTGTTTTAGTTTATAGCTAACAGTTAGCTTATGTTAGCTTTTAGCTAGTGGTTACTTTGGGATTCAGCATTCATACTTCATTTTCACAGAAATATATATTTATTTATTTCCTACCTTCCTGCACTTCTTTTGGTTTTAATTAAACGGGGTGTGGGGCTAAGCTGGTAAACAGTGTGCAAAAGTTTTTGTACAGTGTGTTAATTTATCAGGTTTTTGTTTTCTCCTGTATCTATTCCCCTGAGTTCAAGAAGCTCAGCAACCGGTGTGCTCACTGTGAGAGCAGCTATATGTCGAGTCAGCAGAGCTGCAGTGAAGTCATGGCTTCGTCAGATTTTTGTCTAACGCTCCCTGACAGCCCTGACCCTTTCGCTGTACATCAGTCAGCCTCCTGCTCGTACGTCAGGACACATGCATGCAGCCGTACGTCTGGCTAGATACCCTCACACACTCCTACGTACGGCTGCAGAAACTATAAATAATCAACTCTGAGTATGTATCAGGAACTCACCAGATTCCCAAGTGACCCATTAACCACCACACACACACACAATATATATCTGTGACAGGAAGAAAACACACAATTACACTGAGAGAAGTCAAATTTTTACTTTTAGCTTTCAGCTACTCTTCTGTTACGTTTAGTTAGTTTGCCATTTTGAATTACCGTAATCTTTTGCTACTTTTAGCCTTCAGCTAAAATTGTTACGCTTATAGCCTCTAGTCAACTTTTTGGGAGGTTTTTAGGTTCAAGAATCCAAATTATACATTTAGCTAGCCTATTGCTACGTTCAGCTTTTAGCTATGGCAGTGTGACATTTAACTTTTAGCTAGTCCATTGCTTTACTTAGTTTTGGCTAACGTTTAGTCACTTTTGAATTTCCTTTAACTTTTAGTGTAATTCCCTTTTAGTCAATTTCTTGCTACTTTTAGCTCTTAGCTTACATGTTGATCCTTTTATCGCCTACTTTCTTTACTACTCTTAGCATTAGCTAGCATTTTGCCACATTTGTATTTTATTAGGCTTCTAGTTTAATTCTCTATTAGGCAATTTCTTGCTACTTTTAGCTCTTAGCTTTTGCTCCTTTTGTCGCCTACTTTTTTGCTACTCTTAGCATTAGCTAGCATTTTGCCACATTTGTATTTTATTAGGCTTTTAGACAATTTCTTGCTACTTTTAGCTCTTAGCTTAGCTTTTGCTCTTTTTTAGCACTGACTTTTTTGCTACTCTTAGCATTAGCTAGCCTTTTGTATTTTATTAAGCTTTTAGTTTTTTGCTTCTTTTAGTATGTCTGTACTTTTTTCTTTCTTTTAACTTTTGATTAGCCTTTTGCTACTTTTTAGCTAGAATTAGCTTTCTACTCTCGCAAATTTTAGTCTGTATTTTGCTTTTTTTAGGCTATTAGTTAGCTTTTTGTTCATCTTTAGCTAGTTTTGTGCTTCTTTTAGTTTTATCAACTCACACACATTTTTATCAGCTACTTTCAACGTGACATCGGGGGCCGGATGGAGACGACCTAAAGGCCATTTCAGGCCCACGGGCCATAAGTTGTCCAAATGCTTTTTAAAGTGAGATTAAAGCTTTCATTCTGTTTCAAATCTTAAAAACATGAAGGTCTTTTCTAGGCATCGACTGAGGTGCATTATGGGGAAAAAACTAATTAAATGTCAGGGTATGTGGGCGTCTGCAGGAACGTGTTTGAAGATGAAAATGTATTTAAACAGATTTCAGGGAATATAAAACAAACAGAAGAAACATTTAATAAAGTGGGATATTACTTTTTACAGATGATTCTAATAAAATTAAAGATCCTGTTTAAAAATATTAATTTCTAATTTCAGTTCATACAGGCCTTCAAAGAAAGTGTTGCAGCTGATATGAAAATCTATTTCAGTCGGAGCGGTGGGAGTTCGGTGGGAGGAGTGGTCAAAACATGTGTTTAGTTTTATTAGAGCGACACAATAATTATACAACCAGCCCACGTTCGGATCAGCGGAGAGCTGTTTGGAAGTTTGACGTCCTGTGAGGGACGCGTGGGAGCACATTGGGTGGTCTCCAGCCATCTGGATGTCACGTTCTGGTTTAAAAACAAATAGGTTTTTTGTTTTTTTTTACATTTGGTGCCGCAAAAAACACCAGAATTTCTTTTTTACTGCACGCTGCTGACAGCACAGGTGATGATGGTTTCCCCTGAGTTCATTTGTTTGAATCACTGAACTGAATTTAACAAAACTTTGAGGAAATAATCATCTGATGTTCAACTACAGCTGATTAATTTCTGAGTTAAACTGATTTAAAATTACCACCAAAGTCAAGTATTCAATCATGACATCTTATTGGAATCATATGTCTGATTTTTAGTAAAATATCCCACGAACCACTGGACAAATTTCAATAAAAAAAAAACTAAGCAGATATTGGATGTACT